ACATTTAATGTAACCAATATTTTTAATTTTATTATAAGCTTTGTATTGTAACCATTGTATGACCACCACCTCTTGGGTTTTTAGTGGTTTTTCTTTACTTTCTCCTGTAGTTCATAGTTCCCCATCCCTATTTTTCTTGTAGTGTTTTAGAAAAAAAATTATATATATATAAAGAAGAAAAAAAGAAATATGTGCAGTGGCATTAAGCATGATGGAGATAAACAATTATATGAGTCTGAAGCTATTTCTCACTTTTTGTCCAGGAGCTGTCAAGCTGTGGTTGGAATAAAAAGGAGAAATACAGCTCTGCTCCAAATGCAGTTGCCTTTACAAGAAGATTCAACCATGTAAGTTTCCATTCTGTTTATAGGGCCCTAACTGCATGCATCAAAGCATGCCATCTGCATGAATTTTAAACAATAGCGTCTAACATTTCTTTTTGTTACGCTGCTGTGATTTTGACAGAAGCGTTTTTCAGACCTCCTCCCTGGCTGCTATGTGGATTAATTGTGCTAACGCTGTCTTGGTTGAGCTCATTTGTAAATAATGAATTCCTGATCACTGATGAAACATATTTTCAATGATTAACTTAAATATATTAATTTTCTGGGTGGCTTGGAGAGTGTTGTTTTTAAAGGTACAGCCACTGAAATTGCAGCAGAGTTGCTGGTGCCTGTTCTTTAAGTAATCCCCAAAAATTTCAAGTAGATTGGACCAACGGGGTACAGTTCTCCTCCATTATTTTCTAAGGAGAAGGGGAAAACAGGAAAACACTGCCAAGCTGCTTACATTCCTGCAAGCAGCAAATCAGTGGTCAAATGCCTCTCATGGAAGAAACAACAAGCCCCCCAAATCATTGCAAAACCCAGTAATCCCAGTAACTGCAAGCCAATGTGCCAAGCCAAACAAAACCAAAATCAAGCCAGAGACTTTCTGCAGGGGAAACTGAAGTGGGGGCACTTTTCAAGCCTAACAAAACCAATTGCAATGTGCAGAAGCCTATCAGCACCCAATGCCACTGTGTCAGTGCAAGTTCAACCAAACCAATATCAAATCAGAGAATATCTGCAATGGAAACTCAAGGTGGATGGACACTTTTGCAAGCCCAGCAGAGCCAATTACAATGTGAAAAGTTCAGCAGAACTCAGTACTACTGTGAAAATGCAAACTTCAACAAGGCCAGTATCAAAGCAGAGAATCTCTGCAGTGGAAACAAGTTGGGGTATTTTTGCAACCCCAGCAGAACCAAATTGCACTGTGCAAAAGTCCAGCAGAACCCAGTGCCATTTTGGCAGTGCAGGCTCAACAGGACTAATATCAAACTGGAAAATCACAGCCGAACAAATCCAAGCAAAGCAACACCAGCAAAGGGAAAAGCAAAAAATGCTTGAAACTGACAAACAGACTTGAAACTGACAGAAGCAGGCTGGCAAGCTGTAGAAGCTCCTGGGACTGGAGACACAGGAACAAAGGAAAGACTGAAAGTAGGGAGAAAGAAAATTAGCCCCAGAAGCCTGCAAACACCGCTCTCACTCTTTCTGGTTAATCCCAAGTATTTCCAGGATTTTTGGGGACCATTTTTTTCAGAATCCTGGAAAATTCCTGAATATATTTGGAATGCCAGACATACCCAAAAATACCATATTTGCAATGCCAAACATATCTTTTTGGCTCAGTCTTACCCTAATACATATCCCTATTCATAGTTATTCTAGTGACTAGTTAGCCTTTATGTATTGTAGGATTCAGGAATGTGTTAGAATTTTTTACCCAGTGGATATTAATTAGCACATCAATTACACTGTCATGGGAGAAAGGCTGGTTAAAATGATGTCAGTAACCATTTATTTTGTCATGGTCCTATATGTCAAGTGCCAATTCTTTCAAACTTATTTGGAAGCTAGTTTTTGGCTGGCTTATAGCACACCATTTTTTTCCAAGGAGGTCAGTACCTTATACATGGGGTCTCCAAATGGTTGCAGTTATTGCAGGTGCCTAGGTCTACTTAGCTTCAGAGAGGAAACTCTGCAGTCCAGCTTGGTATCCCCCCCCCCCCCTTTCCATCTTTTCATTTTATAATATCCCATCTGCAAGAAATACATAGCAACCTTCTAATGAAGTGTCACCTTTTACTTACAGGTTTTAGTGATGAGTAGAAACATTTGGTTGGAAGACAGCACAGAGTTTCTTTCAGAATGTAAACCATCTGTTGGAAGTATCTTGTGAACTATCTGTACTCACAGTTGCTTGTACACAAGTACAAATTTAGGTTTAATCTATAAACTTGTGTTCATGAACAATGTCAACAAGCCTTCTGCTCGCACATATGTGTAACCCAGGCATTGGAAATAAGGGAAGGGCTTATGGTCTCTTATCTCAAAGCCCCCCTCCCACTCACACACCTTGGCTTAAGCAAAGCAACTATTTAAGGAAAATACAGTGCTGCACACAGGGCATTGTACTTCCCCCCCCCAAACTCCTTTCCCTTCACAAACCAAAGGTCCAGTAGTCGGTGTTCCAGAAGTGCTATTCTCTTGTTAGAGCTGGTCCAGGCACAGTCCCTCAGCAGCAGGCCTCCAGTGGAAAGGAAGCACAGTCCCTCAGAGGCAGGCCTCCAGTGGAAAGGAAGCACAGTCCCTCAGAGGCAGGCCTCCAGTGGGAAGGAAAAATAGTCCCTCAGAAGCAGGCCTCCAGTGGGAAGGGACCTTCTCAGGGCCTCTCTCCTCACCATCTGAGAGAAGGAATCAGCGTCAGTTCAAAGACAGATATGTCTGGGGGCTGACCTCCAGAAGAAGTGCTGTCCATCAAGGGAGGGCCCACACCAGACAAAAGCTTCTTCAGCTGAGGTCTTTCAGCAATCCAGTCCTTGGAGAGACAAATGGCTGGTCCTCTCTTTGCTGCACCCCCTACCCCGGTTGTTGTTTTCCCCCAGTCACTACTACACACACCCCTCCCAATATCCAAATTAAGTATTTCATTCCTCCACCCAACAGCATATATCCCCAAAGTCCTACACATGTGAAAAAGAGATGCTCACATGCTACTGGGTAGTATTTGATGTCTGATGCCCCACTGTTTGGATTGTTTTAAACCCTCAGAGGCAGGCCTCCAGTGGGAAGGAAAAATAGTCCCTCAGAAGCAGGCCTCCAGTGGGAAGGGACCCCAATGGCTAACAGTTATCAGGAAAGGAGGTGCAAATTCAGTAGTTTATCTGAAACTAAGTAGGTTGGTTTAAAAGGCAAAATAGAGATGAAGTGACTAAGTCCTTGACCTGGATGGCCCAGGCTAACCTGATCTCCTCAGATCTTGGAAGCTAAGCAAGGTCAGCCCTGGCAGTATTTGGATGGGAGACCATCAAAGAGGTCCAAGGTCGCTACACAGAGGCAGGAAATGGCAAAGTCACCTCTGAATGTCTCTTGCCTTGAAAACCCCAAGGGGCTGCTATAAATCAGATGTAACTTGACAGCACTTTCCACCACCATCAAGCAGCTAAAAGAGGCACATCAGAAAGGATATATCTGAAAACAGGCAGCTTTTTCATAGCTACAGGGGGAATAATGTTTGACACAATTTAAAGCGTACAGTTGATATCCAGTTGGTTTGGCTGGATGTTGTTCATCTAGTTTGTCCAGTCAAGCTCAGATTGGGTGGACTCATTAGTATTTAAGCCCCAATCTACCTGTTTGTCTCTCCTTTTCTCAGCAGAACTCCCCCTCCCCCATGAATAGGATTTTGCTAGCAGCTGCTTTATTGCAGGGCAGAGAGGACATTTTACTAGGTTACTGACTGCCAGATTTTTCTGCCTGGTCTCCTCCCCGCCCCTTTATGTTGTTCCCTCTATTACTTCTCTGGTTGATCATTATATGGAATGAGGATTTATATAGTAGACAGGTTCTAACTTTGTTGTTGCTGGGTTTTGCTGCTAATTTGGGCCCAAATGAGATGGGGACAGAGATAAGGATGAAGTTGAGTTTTATGGTATTTTATTACTTCGCTAAGTCTGGTTTGAAGACCTAATGGACAGAACTCCCAGAGTGACATAAAAAGTTCAAAAGGGGTCCTGGTCATTGCTTATTCGAGTATGAGTTTATTCTGACTCTTATTAGTTACTTGGCTTGTAAATAGGTATTTCAAGTTTCATACTGTTTTGCTGGTGCCATTATCAGTATGTGATTGATGAGGGATTCTGGAGGGCAGGACTAGTAAAATTTCCGGAAATTTTGAAACTCGGAAAAAAACCCAGTTTCCCCCCATTTTTTTCAAGGGAAAACGGAAATGTTTGGGGAAATTGAAAAAAATGCTACATTAGCACTACTTTTTTCTTTTTCAGATTGAAAGTAATTCTGTTACTTTAGGAACATAAAATATGTCTATGGACAATTTTACTTGGCATGAAATTATCACAACTAGCCTATTAAATTATTATTTACACAAAGGTTATAAAAATAAACTAATGTAGCTAAATGATTCAGTTTTCTGGAATCAGATAAATGAAAACTCTTACCCTTTTAAATTAAGTATATACTTTCGGGTCCTTTTTGTTGCTCTGTATTTTCTTTCAATGCTTTGAGACCTAGTGAAGCCTGAGTGTCAGTATACCCACCCACATGCAAAAACAAAACTGAAACCTTTTTCTTTTCTTGTGACAATAGCACCTCCTAAAGGAAGAAATGCATCTTGTTCTTGCATTGGAGAATTCAGTTTGTAACCTAGGACTTGCTTCTCCTCAGTGCACAGCAATTACATAAATCTGATACCATACATATTTTTGGGAAATGATTTGAAAAATATTTGAACACCTTGTCTTAAAATATTTTATTCATCATATTAAAATAGAACATTTTTCCGGGCCTTCACATCTCTAGACAGGACTTTTCCTGGGATCCCCCCAGTTCCCCTGAGTTCTTTGATCGCTTGGATGTGATGCAGGCCAAACTAGAACTGACTAGAACTGGCCCAATGTACCAACCCAAATCCCTCCCCGTTCTCTCTATCTCTGGGGTCAGGAAGCTCACAGAAAGTCAGGGAGAGTCAAAGAAGCTAGTTTCAGATATCCTAACCATTTTGATTCTGATAGTGACACCACCAACTTATGGAATGTATAAACATCCTCTAAGGCAAAACTCATGTATAGGCCACAGCACCAGCAGAGTTCTGAAGCCTCCTGGGGAAACCGAACTAAAGATTCAACTATAGAGGCTAATTACTATAGAAATTAAGGTATCATAGGTTTAACAGAGGACTGAGGCTCAATCCAGGGCGTAATTCCGTGACAGTGGTGAACAGTTTATGCTTTTAGTTACTCAAGCTCATCCCATGCTTAATCCTTTAACAAAGTTGTGGCCTT